TGTTAATAATACTCCAGGTCGCTCTGATGACATTGGTACTGTTCTTTATTTTGGAGCTCAAGTACCGCGACTTTGCAATAGCGCAGACCTTTTTAAACAATTTAGAATATGTCCTAACATAATATACATTAAATTCGATTGTGTTAATAAATGTCCTCTCACTATATAGTTCATAGAGACGTTTCCTACTTTTATAGATGCCAGTGGTTGCCCATTCATTGAAAGATACATTGCTATTAACTGGTATAGTTTTAGGTGTAAAGGTAGATTTAAACTCGGTATGGTACATATTAAAAAAATCATCATACAAATTATTAGGATTTTTATTCATCAACAAAGGTAATTTTTGAGTGACTTTAGATTTGAAGATTTCAATGCGTCTTTCAGTCTTTGGGTTAACAGTGATAAATGGTTTAGACATTGTATTTACATGATTTGTTATTGAAATTAACTGTCCGCAATGATCTGAATCAAGCAATGATATAATTTGTTTCTTAATTGGTACAATGTCAGTATAAATATTATCCAGGCAAGTGGCACTAGTGGGAGTTATCCTAGTGGGCTCCAGAAATAAGTTCGTAAGGTTAAATGAGGCAAATAAACTTACAATTTTAGTGCTTAGACTAGAATTTTCTAACAAATTTATATTAAAATCGCCACAGGTTTGAATTTATGAATGAATTCATTTGAACTACTGAGTTTATTTAACACTTCATCTATTACTGTTTCAAAACAGTCATACAAACCAGAAGGTGGTCTATACACACTTAAAACAATAAACCGCTCTAATTCCACACAAGCTATTTCAACAGTGCGTTCAACAGAGTAACTAACTATATCCTTGCGTTCTTTAAATTTAAGTTTGTTATTTATTAATATTAGTGAACCACCATGTATAGCGTTCTCCCTGCTGAACGAGCTACCAATCTGGTGATTACCAAAATTGAACATTAGCTGATGAGATTTCAACCAATGCTCAGTAATACACAAAATGTCAACATTATTACAATTCAAAAATAACTCTATTTCTAGTTCCTTGCTCATAAAACCTTGAATATTTTGGTGAACCAGACTGATAACACTACTGTTTGATTTGCAAGAGGTATCTTGCAAATCAAACAGTAGTGTTATCAGTCAAAAATTACCAAAAATAGAGGGGGTACCCTCTATTGTCTTACTTTTTAATTTAAATTATTATAAATGTCAATATTTATTGAATTATTATTAATAATGTCAATATTTGAAAGTTGCTCAATAGGAGCAACCTGTTTAGCCAAGTTCTAGGCTGTAATATTTAAAAAATATGATAGCGACACCGCTATTTGTCTTATATAATATTTTGAAAGATAGTACCTATCTTTAGTCATATATAAATTTTTGCCAACTAAATTGTTGGTGTCCATTACATGTATATTGCTATTATTACATAAATTATACATAGCAATATTTAATTTAAATCTTAAATTGTTTTCTTCCTGTGGCAAGCTATTACTATAAGGTAATGTAAACAAAATTATCTGCTTAATTTTAAGCTCTGTAAGTGAATTATAAAACTGCAATAATTTTTTTTTATTTAAACTACCTCTATTTCCACAAATAATTATGAGGGTAGAATCTTGTTTGAAACTATAATTGATAATTTTTTCCAAAATATTATTAAAAGAATATCCGGGCATACAGTGATTCATTATTGATTGTCCAGGGTAACTATTTGTCAGTAAATAACCTAAGTTCTTCCCAATCTCATCACTGAAGATTACAATGTTATTGTTGTTATTATTACTACTATTGTTACACTGGCTAGGAATCAATGAACTGGCACCTTGAGGCAGGGTGGAATCACAAGAACAAGCACAACCGGCTCAGGACAGGGGGGGTGCCCCCTTGCATGATAGCGCCTTAGGTCCAAGACGTGATATTTACCAACAGTTTCATCAGATTTATGAGCTAATAGGTAAGTAGTTGGACTCACCATCTTAGGGATCACGTACGGTCCATCACGTTTAGGGTTAAATTTGGTAGTTACACTCTTTGCAGCGTTACTGAGCACATGGGTCTTCATTACAAGTCCCCTTCCGTATACTCCTCAGGAGATGACCGGCCCTGATCAGCGTAAACCTTGCGAACGTCCTGGTGACGCTCAAGGTTCTCCCTGGCTGTCGAGATGGTATCTGCGAGCTTGAGCAAGTATGGGGTAATCTGAGGTACAAAATTTTCTGACTCTACGACAGCTCTCAGATCCGCCTGGACAGTCAAAGGGGACCGTAGCTCACGACATCACACATCAAAATCATGCACATTTGGATCGAAATTCGAAATGTAGTAGGTAATGCTTAGATCTTACTTGTAACAATGAAGAGAGTGCACCGACAATCCCATCCGCCATGCGGCTGGTATCGCGTGGCGTATATTTCGGAAACACTTTCTAGTATAAATTTTGATCTTGACGTATTTCATATGGGCATCACAACGATTTATCTAATTAATACCCAGAAGTATGTACGTAGCGTAGCTTCATAAGTTTAACAATCTGTTTAAACTGTTTATTTGGTAACAAAAATTCAAACAATCACACAGAAACAACAACCCATAATTATACATTCAGTAATATTATTAAAATAAAACTACAATCGCCAAAACTTTCGAGTGCCTGCAGAAACAATAAAACATAATCAATTACAATGTCTACACTCATCAGTTGGCATTATCCAACATAGTGATACATACATAGACTGCACGGTTGGTGCGGTGGCTAGGCAACCGGCTGCCATGCGACGTGTCGCGGGTTCGATTCCCGCACGAAACAACACTTTGTGTGATCCACAAATTGTTGTTTCGGGTCTGGGTGTCATGTGTATGTGAAATTGTATGTTAGTAAACGCACTCACGACACAGGAGAAAATGCAAATGCGGAGCAACGTTTTTCTTAAAAAAAATTACCAAAAAAATTGACAATTCAATAAAACCTTTATTTGTTCTGCATTCATAGTAGAGACAAAATGCAGAAGATTATTAGACTAATTTGGAATAAACCCGTAGCCGTTACATTTTGGTGCGACAATAAAGTGTGTAGAAGACCAAGGCCATAACAAACCTAGGCGTAAACACGCTAGGAAATCATCTTTACGCAAAAAATCAGTTATATCTAACAGTATCATCTTTCTTTTAAAGAAATATCTGAAACAAAATATTGTTTGCATTAATCTTACTATATTTATTAGAAATATCAACGCTGCTCAAAATTATATGTGAAAACAGGTTGAACAAATAATGAAATCTTTGAAAGTTTGGCTACCACTACACTCTCCATAGAAGTAGAAATTGCATGCCATACACTTTGTGACTTCATGCATCAATACGGACTGTTTACATTGATGACATTGTTAATTTTCGACGTACAATCATTCGTAATGATTTTTGTAAAGCTGAAATAATGAAAAAATATTATAAAACATGGGACAGAGATTTAGATAAAAAGTAATTTTTTTTTTGAGAAATGCTCATAGGCATCGACATATACTAACGCGTCGCGAGTTTAGTATTCTTGCCGATACACAAGGCGTTTGAGATTAGACTATAAGTAAAAGTCTAGTGGAGTAAGACCCGGGCTTCGTGGTGGCCAAGGCACTGGCCCGCCACGACCGACCCAGCGCTGGGGAAACACCGAGTCGAGGTGCTCTCGCACGGCGCGCTGATAATGCGCAAGGCAACCATCGTGCTGGTAATACAGGCCATCCATGGGCACTGCTAACGGAATATCATCTAGTAAGTCCGGGATAACACTACATAGTATTTGTAGGTACGTTTCACCAGTTAAGTGTCCTGTCACAAAATGCGGACTAATTAAGCAGCCGTTTATTATACCGGCCCACACGTTTACACTAAACCGCACTTGGTGCGCACATTCTCGAATAACGTGTGGGTTATTAAAAGCCCAAATATGTTCATTCCTTTAGTTAAACGGTCCAACTCGCGTGAACGTTACCTCATCTGTCCACAAAATATTCACGTTTTGATTTTCAATTATCCAATTGCAACAACTAATTCTAGCCGCCGCGTCATTTTTGTGAAGGGCACGTACCTTTCGAAAATGATAGGGGTGTAATTCTTCACTGTTGAGCAGTTTCCAAATGTAATATTGGCTAACGTTAAACCGCGCCGTAGCCATACGCGTACTTCGGCGAGGATCCCGTTCAAAACCGTTAAGCGAGGCGGTGCGAGTGACAGAGAGTGCGGTGGTGGCCGTTGTTGTTTGTCGTGAGGCGATCAGATCAATTGTCACTGGCTCTGGTACCTCACAGTGTAACCTACGTCGTGTAACGTACCTATGGACATTTTCGACTACCTAATATCGATGCCTTAGTTTACAATTGCACTAACTACGAAATTTACATTTTTGAGGAGAGAGCTTTAAAGTTTTTTAAAGTTTAGACGAGAACAGTAGAAAATCCAAGTAAAATAACAAAAAAATATGCATCAGACTCATAAGACTAGTCCTTTTACTCCATCATATATCAATATTGTAATATTAGTTTAAACGTAACCTTTTCAAAACGGCCAAATAAAAAGAAAACCTCCCCTTTAATACATTTGTGCACTAAGACTGATTATGCTGACCGGCATTAAGTGAATAACTCAAAAATATTTAACAGCTTTACCAGGCCGGTTCAAGGTCCAAGAAGAGGGATAATAATAGTTATGGATATTGCATTAAATAGACAAAATAATAAACCAGTGATCCATATTCATAATGTTTATTTTTATTACAAAACACAAACAGTCTTTATTCACAATCAAATAAAATAAATTTCAAAATCACAACAAAAAAATTAAAAGAACTGAAGCCCAATTATAGGCCAATCTTTAGCTATTTCACAAAACAATTATCATTCCTCTGAATCATTAAAATAAGTTTTTTTATTAAAAAATAAAGTCAGTCTTCAGTTTCAGGTAATAATTATTCATTTTTACTAATTGGTAATTAAAAATTGAATCAAAAATTAAATTTCTTCAACAATGGACTCTTCATCTGGATCATCATCAGACGATTCAGTGTCATCACAATTATTGTTAACAATAGTCGCAGAAGTGGATGGAATATCTTTGTAATAATGCTCATATTCTGGTGGTATAACCCCATCATTTAAAAGTGTTATCAGATCTTTCTTTTTAGTTTCCGACACTGGAATCAGTGATTTATATGCTCCTTTCAGAGGTTTCTTTAGTTTGCTTATACATATGTCTTTATTTTTTTTCATTGTTTTTGTCTTACAAATGTCTATTTCTTTGAAATCTGGATCGGTCAAATCGTATTTGTAAAAAATTGAAGTGGGGGATTTTTTCTGCAGCCGCAGCCACTTAATTTTCAGCCACTGTACTTGCTCATTTTTTTGTATTTTTTGTTGTATTGCAATTCAAAGTTTTTTCGAATCCCTTCAAATCATAGAATTCCCCGTGTTTCATAATAACAACATCGTAGGGTTTCGGCTTGATTCTAGCCGACCCTATCACCAATGCATATTCACGCAAAGTGAATATGCTTTTATGCTTTCGCGCTCTTTCAATACACGCGTGAATTGAATCCACTTCTAAATACGAATGCCCCGATTCCATGAATTTCAAATCGATTGTATCTAAGTGATGTATGTTATTGACAGCGTATAAAGCGGCTAGAGTAACATATTTATTGCGGTTCTGACCACCACAAGTGTCAGAAAATGATGCGACATGAGTAACAGTTTCGGGTAAACTACTAAGATATTTTAACAATATCGATCCGATTTCAGTAGAACCTTTTTTGCCATTACACTCGTCCCATAAATAACAGTAGCCAGTGTTATCATAACAATCTAGGATAGTAAAATTGTACATCGATAATTTACGTAAATAATAGATTTTGCAGTCTCCAGTAAAAGGTACCGATAGGATAGCTTGAAGGTCAAATGTTATAGCCCGGAAAGCTCCATCTGAATTCATGCATCTTTGCTTATCTTCTTTTTTCATAGTCAGTGCATCATTTTCGCGTTTCTTGTGGGCATCATAATCTTCCTGTAAGGGAGCTCTATTGTCGGATCGTTTATACACGTTGCATTTGGTGCACTGGTCTTTCTTTGGCTTGTAAAATGCTAGTCTTGGATTATAAGAGTGGAAAATCTTTTGATACACATAAGGCGATACAGGAGTTATCATCTTTTCGGGGCAAAAAACATCTTTGTACATTTGATATAAGCGACTCAGGTTGAGATCGCTGTCTAAATACTGTTTTTTAGAACTTTTTCGGCAATAGTGGGATTCAACGCGAGGGTACAGGTTAATATGCTCTTTAACAAAATTAGTAGACTCCACTGAAGTAATGTTTGCGGGCATTTTTCCTATTCGTTTGTCAGTGCCCATAAATATGCCGTTGAGCCCTCTATTTTTTGAACAATTATTAATGATGCTTGAACTAATGTTAAATGTATTACAAAAAAACTTTTGGCAAACTCGTTTTTTACCTACAGATTGATGAAATAGCCAATACTGACGTGACATAGTGCGATTTTTTTTTGCCTTCGTATAAAGACGTAAGACTTCAGCGTGAGAAATCAGGCTACTGAGCATCATTTTTTGTTGTTTTGTATCACCTAGGCTCCAGTACTCTTCAAAGATATCCTGTCTCAGATTTTCTGGAAACAAAGAATTGCACTGATATCGACATTTAGAGCAATCTGTAGGCTTGCATTCTTTTGGTTTCATAAATTTTCCATTTCTACTTGTGTACCCTTTACCTGTTTGGCGTAAATTTTTAAGAACATTTCTTTTCCATGTTTCGGGCATTGCCTTCTTTCTTCGTTTTGGTTGATTTTCCTTTGTAGCTTCTACTGAGTCACTTACGTCAGTTAAATCGCTATCTAATGATAATGGTAGATGGCGTGGTTTAGATGGTGAAGGAGCATACGACGATTCAGAATCAATATATGGAGATATTTCGTTATCTGACAAATATAGATCTTGGTGTAATAATGTATTTTCACATGTTGATGTACTCGGCTTTAGTGAAACATGAACAGATTCGCTGGGAACAGGCAGGTCTTCTAACAGCTGTGCGTTGAGAACAGATGGGGAAATTTCTTTTGAAAGATGATCCGAATCAGATATTTTAGAGGCAGATTCTACATATTGCAGAGACTCAACGTCGTGACCTAAGACTGCATTTGATTTAGCAGACTGTGATGGATCTCTTTTTTGATCAATAGCATTTATGGGAGCAGCGGTGATTACATCGTTTTCTGTAATGGTAATGTCAGGAGATGCTTGTGAAGTTAGAACTGACTCGGATTTGTCACAGTTGTTTATATCTTCAAGTGAATTATTGTTATCAAATTCTGGAACTATTACTTCATTGGCTGTGCATATAGGCGATGTCGTTGAATTTTCAATGAAAGCTTGACTTTTTGCAGCAATCTCATTAGATATTTTGTCAAATAGAGTATTTAAATTCTTTGCAACTTTTGACCGTGGTGTTTGAGTGACGCTAACTTCATTTATAGCTGGCGATTTGAAGATCAAAGTTTTGTTTGAATTATTGTCCTCATTTTTTTGCTGAGATTTGTAGCTATCTGCCAACAACTCTGCAGAAGTAACATCTGTAATAAAACATTGACATTTGAGTGATATTAAACTAATAAAAGATGGCGAAAGGTTCGCCTTACGTGCCAGTAATCTGAAGAAATTAACACACAGCAGTACCTACAGTAAAAACTCCTTATTCGCGCTTCCTTAATTCGCATTTTAACTATTCGTGGATTTTTTTATTAGATTCCTAAGTTTCAAATGAAAGGGGAGCTCTAATAATAATTGTGTGTTATACACACACACGCGCACTCTTCACGTGTGATTAACAACAATGCTATATTTTTAATTTAATGAATTATAATTATTATTTTACATTCCATCACGTTAGCAAGATGAACAGTAATCTTATGTATTAACAGCACTTATGGTTATGCACAAACACATTAAGTGCCTTTAGTTTTCTCTCTGAGAATATATGGTTTAATGCACAAAAGTATTAAATACGTTTAATATGACTGACTACTTATATGGTTGAATAGTTATTTGCTAATAATAGAATTGTAGTCTTAATAAACTACGCATATTAATAAATATACAAAAATAAGGTACGAAAGATCTTAATAATTTGTTTAGCGTTTAATAATTATTAGGTCAGTGGGTAGCCTCAGGGGCAGATTTATTTCAGAATAAGACGTAAGTAATAAATAATTTAAACTACAACGTATCGCAAAAGTACGTGAATTGCCAACGTCGTCACAAGTCGTGAGCACAAACATCGCGATCAAACGCTCCACGCAACCGATCCTACAGACGGACTAATCAAATAAACCTAAAAAAGAACCCAAAAATCAAAAAATAAACTTGACATTTTGTACTCACGACTAGTGACGACTACTATACCTATAACACTTGCATACGGACGGTCTCAATAATATTAAGCTACACTTGATGCCCTGTCTTTTATTTATACCATCCCTCAAAAGATTAAACTGTCACTCATGTTAATAATCATTATGGTGTTTAGGGTACGATATTCAAAGGCGATGATAGGTAGCCGTAAGTTATTTAAAAACGAATGACAAGTTATTTAATTAATGTAACACTTATTTTACTTACTTTTGGCTATTTTATGTGATGAACTCTTCACTTCTGCTTTTTGGCCGGACACTGATGGTGGCACGTCTTGCGAGTCCGTCTTGTTTATATCAGTTTGAATCACTAAATCGACTAGTTTACGTCCTTTACTAAACATTATGGCATTTAACTTATACACAGTAAACTTCTTAAACCTTCAAACGTCTAAATTATCTCACTTTCCGCAGAGCAAACGAATATTCTGCAGTCTGCACGTATAAACTTGTTTACGTTTGTGGCATACGCTGGACGACGCGGTCAAGCGGGGAAGCGGAGGGCCTACGCCCCGCTACCCCGCACGCAATCCCGTACGAACGAACGAACCATGACTGCGCTGCTCATTGAAAATTACGCGCCAAAATCAATCTTTAAAACACAAATGTCTTAAATGTAGGTAATACGCTTCAGTATTCACACTACGAAATAAACATTAAATTAAATGGGCTTAGTTTATTTCCGCTTTTCATTTATTTCACATGTACACTGGTAATATATTATCTCAAAAGGATTAAATGTATTTGTGCACTTCAAAATTTGTCAAACCCCTTCAAGTAAAAGTACTTAATACACTTGTACAATTCGGACTATATCTCAAAACCGTTTAATGTATTTATGCATTTAAAAAATTGCCAAGCCCCTTCCAATAAAAGTACTTAGCACACTTGTGCATCAAACTTTCTTGATCCTTTTGTACTAACAACACATAATTCACTCTTGTAGCACTGCTAAAAAGTATGAGCAGATATTGCAAATGTATATAATACGTTTGTGTTTTGAAATTTCCTACAGTTGAGAAACTTAAAATCAGTTAAAGTATATCTTGATTGGTTTTACAAAAATAAAGATCATTAGTGTAATACCACATATAAGAAACATTAGACGAGGTCATTTAATACAACTGTGACCCACGTTTTTGGTAGAAAGAGACAGAATAACGGTATTTCGATGCGCGGAAACGAAAGAGCATGAAATTTAGTGTATTTGGCATTAAAAAAGTAAAAATTGAAAATTTTGTAGTTAGTGCAATTGTGAACTAAGGCATCGATATTTAAAACGACGTATCTTTGCATATACCCAAAGTATAGTAACAGTTAAGGGCTTATATTGTAGGGCATACAGTCTAATATTACTGGTTTTTTTATGACGTCTTTAGTGTTGCTCTTATATTATGTTTAAGCATTAGTTGTTAATATGGAGTTTTGTCCTCAGGTACGTTACTTGTTTGTACCTTCGGACAGCCGTGTATATACCTTGGGACGAAACAAAAGACAAAGATTTCTCTCTAATCAGTCTTTTAATCATCATTAAAATATATAATAGAATAGTAACAATATATCTTCTGCTAGTTATACAACAAAATTATATAATATAAGATACAACAAATAGTAGTCTTAGGTAATACTGAGAACATTTTAATTACTTGGGAAATAAAAATGAGATCTAAGTCATCCAAGAGATTTACTTAGATGATTGAACAATTTGAAATATTTCTTCAATAGATTCATCATCGTCACTGTCATCCAATTTAAAACAGTCTGCACACATAAACAACTCCGAATCTTCATGATCTGGAATGTTTTCTTTGTAGTTCTTAGGGCAACATCTTTGATGGTAATAAAACTTGCATGAGCAGCATTGTAGGACCTTTTCTTTAAGATCTATTTTATGACAAGGCTGACATTTGACATATATTTTTTCACAAAGAATCGAAATTTTTTTCGCAGGAGCTTTCGTTGTTTTGACAACTATAGGAACGTCTAGGTTTAGTTGAGGATTACTAGAGGTTTTTCCCTTGCCTTTCCCTTTTCCTTTATTTTCTTTCTCCATCATTTCGTTAAAAATCGCTTCTTTTTCCGGTGTATTAGTTAAAATACGAGAACTTCCTTTCTTCCTTCCCCTTTTACTTTCTTTTCTAAAACATTTTGGTAATGGCCGTATCATTTCAGGGGTAACTGAATGTTTAGTTGCTTTTTCTTCATCTAAATTTGACATGAAACCTCGGGAACTAGATGGTTGATTTTCAGGTAGAATCAAATTTTCTTGGTTCTCCTCTATATTAGAAATAACTGGCTGAGACTCCAAATTTTTTTGATTTGTGACGTTTGTTGGTGGTTCTTGCTGATCTGTGACTGAAGAAGGGGCAAAATCGTCTTCTGTAAAGATGTCATCATTAAAAGGATAAATTCCTGTCGATTCAAATCCGTCAAAGCAATTTAAAAAAGAAACGAATTATCTCGTTTATTAGGTTAGAATTCGGTATTGTTAGTTATAGTATTATAGACGCAACTACCTTAAGATATGTAAATTAATTTATTGTCATAAATATGTGCATGCATGTCGTATATAAATCTACAATCAAAACATCAAAATACTTACTTTTGACCACGAAAAACTTCACAACAAATTCACACGTCACCCGATGTCAATACAATCACGCCACTGACTGGTGTTGCTAAGTAGGAAAAATACTATCCGTTTGGAAGAATTTTGTAATTTTAATATTGATACTTTTCAAAATATAATGCGTGTCTAAAGGTACAAGCGTCCCTAGGTACGTTACGTGACCCTACCTACTAACTCATCGAACAATGTATGAGTGTGTGTATTTTGTTCTTCAAATTTCTTTATTTGCGAGGAAGAGATTATCCTATGGGCATCGCACAATTCAGACTCTAATTCGGCAATTCTGTTTAAAGCTGATAAATGTGTATCACTACACTCCTGGAACGTAGAGACGGTGTACTGCAGCTGGTTGTGTTGGTCGAGTATGTCCATATACTGGACATGTAATTCAGCCAGTTCGTTCTTGAGGGATGTGTTCTTATCGATTATATGTTCTTAACTTCGACTTCACTATCCTCTCGTTCTTGTAGTAGTTGGCTGCATAGCTGTTTTGAGGTCTCCAGTTCCTTTAGAGTCAGCCGCAGTTTGTCTTCTAGGTCCTTTACGGTGGTAGCTCTGCGTGTCATCATGTTGCTGGTGTATAGCTCACTTCCTGAAATGTGAAACAGAATCTAAGTATTGGCAATAATTTAAGAAAATAATACTTGTATGAGGACAATAAAGGTAGAACGAAAATAAAAATATTTTAGATAAAAAGGTAAATTTAAGTACGAGGATTAATAAATGGAATGGAAACAGATTAAAACTATTATGATTACAGAGTAATAGAAAGAAATATTACAACAAAACAAACTAGTAATGAGTACTTAGTATGAAAGGTCAGAAAACAAAATAAAGTTCAGTGGGTAGACTAGTACCTAGTAGATATATTGAAATTTCAGTATGGTAGTGGTCTAATGTGTTAATGTGAAGACAGTTATGTAGTGTTTTTACTTGTCTTGGCTATGTTTTAGTCGATCGATTCTGCTTCCACTTATTGTCAAGCAAAAGGAGACATAAACGGTGCCGGTGTGTACGGGACGTTACTCAAAGACTTGAGTAGAGTAGACTTGTAAGTGGTGTTTGTATTCCAATTATAGCCACACTGTACGCCGTTAACTATGTTATAACAATAATAAATGGAAGAATAATACAATATTCCCCCGGTTTTTGTGATTTCCAATCCACCGTAGTCGTTGTTCCTTTGACAGGTTGTCAGACGGTATCCTTTTTTTTTCTTAACCTAACTTAATATTAACACAACCAATAATAATTATTACATAATATGGAAAAAGATGAAACAATAGGAACAACTTAAAATCTAAAAATTAATATATGGAAATGATTAAAGATTAAATTTAATAATAACATATGGAAAGAATAACTACTATACTAAAATTAAGTAAACTAATCTACCTATAAAATAATAAAATAACATCTAGGAAGAGGAATCTCATCTTTAAAACAGTGTCATGTCCCCTGACTTGGCCACCTTCATCATGAGATCATGGTTCTCATCATCCAATCTTATTTGGCCCAAACTAGCATAACAGTTTGTAGCCAATGCTTTTCTTGATGAAGAATTCTGATGCAGATGCCCACTTAAGATCATCTCCCACATTGGAGAGGTCCCATTGCATTGGCGTTGGTCTCTGAACTTCATAGCTCTTCCTATTTCTAATCAACTGACTGAGGATCACTCGTGGAACAAAGCTTTGGTATTTAAGGGCAGTTCTGACCAGCTTAACCCAGTCTGATTCCACATTGATTATTGTAGGATTTTAGCGTGGATGTAGCAATAAAAAGAAATATTTACAAAGAATACTTTAAAGTTATTTATTTCGTACGACCGTTCGTACTAAATCCGAGATCGAAATTTTGCCAAATTTATACTTAAAGCTAGAAAGTAGACAGTAAATACTGTGATAGTCTAGAAACGTTTAATATAATATCAAATGTAAACCCGACTATGTGTTTTATTATCCACGAGATTTTATTTTACTATGAACATTGATTTCGTGGGACTTGCAGTAACAAAATACGTCACATTTTAGAAGAGAAACTATCGTTTCTCATGCTTTCGAGTTGATGATTATTTTTTTGAGTAAATGAAGAGCAAAAAATTTATTTTTTCAAAAAGTAACTTGCATTATTCGATAGTACTACTAAAGGGAAATCGTTCTGCTGCGGGAAAACAACCATGTCATGTCCATAATATGTCAGCGTCACAGCGTGTATACTTTGTTTGTCTATAACTCATATACCCCATGGATATGGGCAATTTTTTTCGGTGGGGTAAATTGTGCATTTTAATAAAGCTATTGATAAAATTTTATCTTCAAATGACTTTTTTGATGTTTGACCAAACTGGGTGATTGATAATTGACTTGCTATACCTGAAAACATGCATATAACTTTTTAATAGACTGGTGTTTTGAAAGGAAATAGCATAAATAAGAAATAAATAAGATTTAAAATATATATGTTACGGGTAATGCTAGAAGGTGGAGTAAACCTAGGTTTATCTGGGTTGACTTAGTATTACCCAAGCTACTTGGGTAAAGTCCGAATAATAAGTAAAATAAATTTTAATTCGAGGTTTACCCATACTCACCTAGGTCTACCCAACTCTGGCTGGGTAATGTAAAAAATTCGTCTAATTAATTAGTGAAATGAAAATCCAAGGGCATTTTAAACATTTATTATTTAAAAATCATACAAAGCCGAACGTAATCG